TGAACCGGCCATTCCACGACTCCATGGTTCCAACATGATCAGCCCCCACGTGTGTCTTGTGCGATTTTGGGGGGTTACTGACTCTCTGCTGATTCCCTCTCCCTTTGGAGTGGATGTTCCTGCTCCTGCTGCACCCAAGCCATGGAATCAGTGTGTGCCCTGCTCTTTGCCACACGCTGTTTTCTCACCAAGTGGCACTCACAGTGTCTCACTCCCCACTGTCCATGTCTCTTCAGAACTATATCCATGATTTTCACTGTGGGAATTCCCTTCCAGCACCTGCAGCCCTTTGGTGCTGTCAGCACCAAGCCTGGTCCTGACACAGAGGAAGAAATCCTTCCAAACTCATCTCAAACAGGGGAAGATGAGCTGGAGAACAGGTTGGATTAAGAGGGAATTGTGCAAAGCAGATGAGTTTTGGTTCACATGTGGGCAGAATCATGGCAGCTTCCCAGTGGTGTGAGGAAGTCAGCTTTGGTACATCCAAGGAGACCCAGATCCTGCTCCTGGTTACACCAAGCCTTGAAAGGCTGAGGCAAACCACTGAGAACTGGGGACCAGAGACCTTAATGGAAAGGATGGGAAAGGCTTTCTTGTCTTCTTATGAAGACATCCATGAAAGGAACACCTTTTAGAAAGCCCTTTGCCTTAGTATAATCCATCAGAAGCACAGCTTTGTCTTGCTTCTGGGTTCTGGTTGTGCTCTTCAAGGTACATTTCCCTCCAGATTGAAGGGAAGCAGGATTGGAGCCGTTTAATGATGAGCTCTTATCCCAGACTTGACCCTGATTTTGCACAGTCAGAGAAGCAGCTTCCCAAAGGCTTATCATTCCTTTCAGAGCAGGAATCTGGCAGGTTTCCTGGGGCAGGAGTCCAGTTTGGCTTTAATTTTTAGTGAGTAATACTGAGAGCCTGGTCACCCCGCGGGTCCCGTGGAAACAGGACTGTGCTGACACACTTCCAGTGCAGCAGGAGGGACAAATCAATCTGCAAGGAGGCTTTAACGAGGCCCCCATCCCTGGTTTTTTTGTTTGGTCACACCCCGGTTCACTAGAGTTTTATAAATTAAATACTGAAATAAGCACACAACTGCTGCTGTACCCTGTTCCCAAGCTCCCATGTCTGACAGAGATGTTCAGTGCTGCTACAACACTCCTCTACTTCCCCACCCACCTGGAAATGACAGAATGAAGAGGGCTGGGAAGGGAGGAATTTGGCAGAGGGGTAGGTTGATTTTCCTGCAGTTTTTCCTGCTGCTGCCATGTTATCTTGGATTGTGCTGACACCATTTAGGGTGTATTTACCGGGTGTGCCAGGGGTGCCTGGAGCCTTTGGCCTTGGGGTTTGTATAAATCAAAGGAAATGAGTGTTTCCAAGCACTTTTAGGCTGTAACTTCAGCCCAGCTGTGCAGCCCCGTGGGGCGATGCAGGTCTGCGGGTGCTGCTGGGCTGGGACTGTTTTGATCTTCTGTAATTTTGGGAGCTGCCCATGGTTGTGTCCTGTGGCTCTCGGTCCTACAAACATTTAACCTGTGACTTTCAGGCAGGCTGGTCCCATCCCCGTCAGCCTTTGGTGACAGCCTGAAGGAAATTCTCATTTTTCTTGGTGGGTTTGGGACCAAAGTGTCTGCGATAGGATTCATTTGTGGGAAAGATCTGAACTGCCAAGAGGGACAGGGAGGGATGTTATTTTGCAACCCTTTTGTCCCAAAGCCACAAATCTGTCACTCACAGCTCTGCCTGTCCCTTGGCTCTGTCATCATGGGGGGTGTGGAGCAGCCTGGCCTGTGGCCCTGCAGGACTGTCCATCAGGGCACAGCGGGGAAGGAGCAGGTCCCAAATTTCTGATTAGGAGGGAGGAAAACCCACTTGGCTACAGGGAGGACAAGTCCTCCTGCAGCAGAAAAGGACTACACAGAGGCTGCTGGTGTGAGAACCCTCTCAGTTCCTCCACTTCATTGCTGGGGCTGGAGGGAGGTGGAAAAGGGACCTGAACACGCTCTCGCTTGGTTTCTGCCAGGGGGAGAAACTGTTGTCTCCAAGGAATTGACTCCTGATTTATGAGGGTCTTGCTCCTGACTTGCAGTAAGATGAATAATGGGGAAATTTTTACAATGAGGGTGGGGAGGCCCTGGCACAGGCTGCCCAGAGGAGCTGTGGCTGCCCCATCCCTGCAAGTGTCCAAGGCCAGGCTGGATGGGCCTTGGAGCAACCTGGGCTAGTGGGAGGTGTCCCTGCCCGTGGCAGGGGGTGGCACTGGATGATGTTTAAGGTCCCTTCCAACCCAACCCAACCTGTGATTCCATAAACACACAGCTCCTGTGCTTCCAGACTCCAGCCTGGAATTCCCTCACCCCCAGGCTTTGCTCCCAGGGTCAGGGCCAGTCCTGCCCAGTGTCCCTGTGGGGTGACAGGGGCTGGGTGGGGACAGGGCCACCTGCCCAGGGTGTTGCAGGGTGCTGAGCTGTGGCACCGGGGACGAGCCTCTGGCCTTGTCCAGCTGCCTCTTTGCCATCTATATTTGGTAAAAAAATGATTTGGAATTGTTTGTTTGTGGCTCCTTGGAAACCCTCCGGTAGAAATGGCTTCTTTTGTTTGGTTACTTGGGAAAAATATTTCCCCCTCCTTCTTTCACTATTTTGAAACATTAAAAAAGCAAAGCTTTAAAGAGCCCAGGAATATCCCTGACTGTCACCAGCCTCTGTCTCTCCTCCTGGCTCCCTGCTCTCTCCCTGATACTCTGCTCCACCTTCCTGTACATCCTGACAACGAAAACACCATTTAAATGTCCTCGAAGTTTCTCCTTCCATTGAAAAAGGGGATTTATTCTCTTTTTTTTTTTAATCAGAATTAATGTGATTCTAATGTGTTCCTTTTGATCTTCAGGGGATTTTTTACACTGATGATCCCTAATTTTGAATTTTTTTTTCTTCTTTTTTGGTTTTAATTGTTTTAAAAAGCTTTAGCGAAAGGGGAAAAAAAAAAAATCCATCCTACTTCTTTGGCACATCTTTAACCTTTAAGTACCTCCAGAAAAAATGTTTAAAATATATTATACATTTTTAAAGAGGGTGCGTTTGACAGGTCAGTCTCAAACCTCTCTCTCTTTTCTTGCGCTGTGTTGGAATAAGACAATTTTGCAGCTTGGATTTTTTTGACAGTTAAATTGCAATGTAGGCAGAGGGTGGAATAGGGATCCTGTCTCTTTAACTCTCTAACTAGACAAAGACTTTTCCCCTCTGAGAGCTGAGCCCGGGATCAGAACTGTCAGATGATCTCGTAGCACTTGGGAGAGTTTGCAAAGTCATAATTATATCTTTTAACCTGTCTTGCTCTTTGCAAAAGAAAGGTCCTATTATATTGAAATGAGATTATTAGCCATCAAATACTTTCTTTCTTGGGATTCTTCTTCTTTAAAAAAAAAATTCAAATACCTTAACTACTTTGCAATTGAATTTTTATAAGATTTACTTTTCGCTAAATAAGTGTTCTGCAGCAGCTATTTTTTTTAAAGTATTTTTAAAAGGGTGTTTTCAGTATGCAGATGCAAAAAAAATCAGACTAAATGTCTGAAATGTCACCTGGATAATTAAAGGAAGGTAAAGTTTCAGAGCTCAGTTCAGGTTTTTTCCCTGGCTTACTTGGTGAGCTTCGCTATTCCCAAACCCTGCTGCTTTTCCTCATTTCAATGCCAAAAATATATTTTCCCTGAAACCCAATCATTTTCAACCTTCCATTTTCTCTTTTTTTTTTTTTTTTTTTTCCCTGTGTCTTTTCTTCATGAAAAAATGAAAATGAAACCCCAAATAACTGGAGAAGGTTTTTTTAATGCACACAATTGAAATCCCCGCACTGCAGTGTCAGTGTGGGCTGGAACAAAAGGGGACGAGTCTCTGAAGCAATCAGGGTATCACCAGAAATCAAAGGGAAATCCAATCCCAAATTCAAGAAAGAGCTTCTTAAGCAAGCTCATCCAGTACTAGTTGGCACAACAGTTACACCCAGGCAAAATTTGGAACTTGAGATTAGGAAACATTAGATATTTAACACGTTTTTAAATATCTGCCTGAATAAGGATTGGAAGGAATATGAAATAGCTGAAATTTGTGGACAATCTGTGCCTGATCCCAAGACCTCTGAAGCCAACCGAGGGTCCTTCCCCCTGCTCTGGCTCCAGCACCCTGTGCTGGGAGGGACTGGTCATTTTAATGGGATGATTAAAGTCATTCATGGCTGAATAATTCAGATTGTGTCAGCCTGTCCTTTATAAACTCTCTTTGCATGGGTGGGTTATGTGGTGGCCATAAAAATTCATTCTGAGATTAAATTCAGTGTGTGCCAGTCTGACAAAGGATTTGTTCCTGGTGCAAACTCTCCAGAAACTCACAGGATGCCAGGAACTCACAACTCGTTCACATGGTTTTTGAGGGATTAGATACCTTTAAGTTTTTAAAATATAATTTTTAAAAGTAATTTTAAAGATGCTCTGTAGGGCTGCAGGACTCTGCATCACAGGAGTCTGGTGTACTTTTGAACATCTCAGGAAGGGCCTCAGCTGTGCTGTTGTGATCACATGTATTTCCTGGTGACCATATTCTTCTTTTTTTTAATTCCAAAGCCTGAGAACAAAGACCATGGTTTAACATACCTGATTAACCTTCTCAGAGATGTCTGGTCATAACACAAACCAGGTGAGGGACAGAACAAAACAACCTCCCCCCGCTGAAGGAGGCCCTGATTCAGAACGAGCCCCACCTGGGGAAAGGTTTTTAATGAAGAACCTCAGGACAGGAAGGTTCAGGAATTTGTTGAGCTGCACCTGCTGAAAGTTCCATAAACCCCAGTACCTGCTGAGAGGGACACACAGGGTTTCTGTCTCTCCAGAGTTCCCTCGTGCTCCTGGTGCTTTGGTATGGAAACCTCTCCCTGCCCTACCTGGTTTTAATACTCACAAGCCTATTGCAAACTAAAATACGTGGGGTTTTTCTCTTGGCTTACAGGACAGACCCAGAGCCTTCAAGGAAACTCTTGGATACGATCACCAGGTGTTCTCTGTCCATCCAGCTTTTGGGTTTCATGCTGAAGCTGCAGCATCAGCCACCTCCGAGTTCAAGGTAGGAGCAAATGTCTGGTTTTACTCCTGCATTTGCGCCCTTGTATTTCTTTTCCAACTGGATGACTCAAGAGCAAAGAGTGACAGATATTCATATAGTACCTGACTAAGCTGCCTTTAATCGTCTGTGTGTGCTGGGGAGCCAGGAGATAAGGCCAGAGAGCCAGTTCAACCTGTGTGAATTGGCAGTGGCCCCCTGACTCCCTGGAGCAGCTCCAGTTTACACCACTGAGGATCTGACTTGGAATTTCAAGGCTTTTCAGTTACTATCATAAATATCTCTTCTTTTTCTTGGCAATGAAATAATCTATAGAGTGGTTCCAAAAAATTAAAAGAAGCTGTTGGCAGATGTGTCTATTAGTTTGAGCTGGAGGTTTTTGGCTTTTTCGAGGCCGGAGCTCAGACGTGGGGTAGCCGGGAGGCTTCTGGGCGTCCACAGTAGCTTTACCTTTGGCTGTGCTGTTGTTCCTGGAGGAATGTGCTTTGTTTCTCGGGGTTGATTGGAGAGGGGTGGGGGAGAGGTTTAAATGAGAGACTCAGGAAGTATAGAACAGGAGGAATTCAAGAGCTGTCCGTCTGTCTTGCTGATGACCTCAGTGAATCCGTGAGTCCCCTGAGTCAGTACCTGTGTTCCAGCCTCGGGCAGGGATGGTGTGTGGGTTAGGGAATGCAAGCACGAGGTGATGTCCAACTTTGCTTACTTAAAATATGAAAAATAGTGCCTTTTTAAGGGCAGATTCCTATAGAAAATGTTCTCAGCCTCCTGGGAGTCACATTCCTTGGCGGGGCAGGAGGTGCTGTGCTCTGGAGCCCGGCAAAGCCAGGCCTGCCAATGCCATGGACGGGGATCGGGGCTGGCGCCGCTGTGGGTGTGGGTGTAAACACCAGCCAGCTGTGCCAACCCCAGCGTGCCCTGGCTGTGCTGCCTCTGGGGCCCTGCCCCACTTGAGCCTCTCCAGAGTGGGTATCAATGAGCTCCCGGTTCCGGGGGCCGTGGAAATCGCCGTGTTTACTCTCCTTTGGCAGCAGCCGCCGGCCCTCGGGGGCCCTGAAGTGCTTCCTTGAGCTCAAGAGCTGCTGCTCAGCAGCTTCGTAGGGCAGGGCTGGGGAGAAACCAAGCCCATTTTGGAGAGAAAACTGAGGTCTCATTTGCTGTAGCTCACCCAGATGTACCCTGGTATGTCCTGCTGCTGATCCACTGCCGTCACTGGCCTGTGCTCACACTCACCTACACAGATCAAGGTGAAAAGTTGTATAAATTGCCTATTGGAGCATAAGCTGCCTGGATTTTATAATTTGGCCCCGGGACTCATTCAGGAAAGACGTCAAAGCCTTTTGCTCCGTTATTTGTGCTGAGCTAAAAATAACTTTGGGGGCCCCACCTCAGCTGACCACACTCCCTTGAAAACCCAGCACAGATGCTCCCGTGCTGCTCTCCTGGATTCTGGCAGCCACAAACCAGAGCCATCAGAAGCTCAGACCCCACTGCTCCTTGTGGTGACATCTTTCCTGATGGGAATCATTGGGTCTCTTGGGACACAGGGAGCAGCAGCTCCTGCCCAGGGAGGAAGGACTTGGTGTGTTCCTCGTTCACCTCGTCAGCTCTCTGTGGTGACCTGGGGGAGGTTGGTGGTCCATCTACCCCCCACATTCATGGGTGCACCTGCAGACACCTTGTCCTTGGTTCCTGCCATGCTGCTGGAATGTCATTTGCCAGCGCCAGAGACCAGTGCAGGCAGGATTTGTGTCGGTGTGCCCTTTTTGGTCAATACTAATATCCCAAACTTCAAGTGGAGCATTTTTCCTAAAGCAGCTCCACTTCTTGCTGGCAAGACAGTTTTATCACCCTCAGATACTCAGCACTTTCCAGGCTGGATCAATGGGCAATTGTTCCAGAAACACATTGAACTTCCCCAGGCTGTGTCTCTCTGTTGTGGTTTTTTATTTTTTTATTTTATTTCAGCCTTTAACAAAACCCCCAGAGATCTGAGCAAAAATAGTAAGAATAAGAAAACAAATTCTATCATAATTTTTGTCAAGGCCAGGGAAATAATTGCCCAGCCTGCTCTGCTCCTCCTTCACAGCCCCAGAAAGGTTTTACGAGCTGAAGCAGTTGGTCTCTCAGGAGGTGCTTGAGAGGAAAAGGAGACCACGAAGCCAGGGCCGTGTTTTCCATCTGGAGCTTCCCCATGGAAGCCGAGTGTTCTCCCCCAGCTGTGGCTCGGGCCAGCTGAGCCCAGGCAGTGGCAAAGCTCTCAGATCAGTGTCAGGAGCTGACACCAGGCCCCTCTGTGCTGACCATTCCTGGGGACCGAATACATCTTGATTCCATATTTTGGTTTTACAGGCCCTGCACAATAATCACCTCTTAATTCACCCTCCCTCCTCTCTCTGCTGAGGAACAGCAGACGGGAGATTTCATGTGCCATAAATATTTAGATTGTGCCTGTGTGTTTATAACACTTGCCGAGAGTGTAACTGGAGCAGCTCACACTCGGCAGCAACACCTGATGCCGGGGAAAGTTTTCCATCACCTCATGTGGGCCGTGGGGCAGCCGTGGGCTGGCCCACACTGGGGACCAGTAGCCGTGTCGTCCTGCCCCGTCCTCTCCTGCCACCCCCGGGAGCAACAACAGCCCCAATAATAACATGGATGGGATTTCGTGTCCCTGTGGAGCTGCTGCTCCAGAGGATGCTGGAAAAAAGCTGTGGCTGGGATGGAATGGAAAATTCCTGTGGTGTTCCTGGGGGGGTGTGAGGGGGGAAGCAGGTCCCTCGTGTGACCAACAGGTTCCAGGCCATGTGTGCCTGGAGATCCACAGGGCTTGTGTGTGTCTTGGCCTCTCCAACACAGAACCATGGAATGGTTTGGGTTGGAAGTGACCTTAAAGACCATCTCATTTCCCCCCTGCTCTGGGCAGGGACACCTTCCCCTAGACCAGGTTGCTCCAACCTGTTCCATGGCTCAGTTCCCCTTGAGAAGGGGGAGTAACTAATGCAGGAGGTTTTCAAGAGCAGGTTGGACCTCAGGAAGGACGCTAAAGGTGATCTTTGGGAGCACAAGAAGGGCCTGGCTGAGGTTCTCAGCCCCTTCCCGGAGGTGGTGGCCCAGGCCAGGCTGGGCTGTGCTGGTGGCCCTGTTGGGGGCAGACTGGGCAGACTGGGAGGCTCTGCAGGGCTGCAGCAGCAGGTTTGGGAGGGCACACGGCTCAGCCCGGTGCTTTCCAGAGCAGCAGGTCTCTGAAGTGTTATGGAATTTTTTGTGCTTTAATAAATGTGTTTTTACTAATGTTTCTTTAGGGGAAAATATTTTTCTTTTGTTTCTCTGTGTAGCCTCTTTAGGACTTTCTGTGGAAGTGCAGCCAATAGTATGAGCTTTGGCTCTTTTTCCCCTGTCCTGTGCTTTTTCTCCTTTTTTTTTTTTTTTTTTTTTTGAGAGGAAATAAATCTCAGTTTTCAGTCCCTTCCCTTGCTCCTATTCCACTTACCTGCTGGGTTCAGTTCTGTGGCTTTAGAAACAGGAGTAATGACTCAATGGCAAACATGGGAAGGATTTTCCCTCCCTGGGCAGGAGCTTTGGTACTTGCCTGCCATGGGCTTTGCTCCAACCTTTTTCCTGGAGCCTTTAATGCTTGTCAGGGTTGGAGGTGAGACATCACATGAGATGGATTGTAAGAGGTGTCCAGTTTGGTGATTGTTGGCTCTCCAAGGGCTCTCTTTACCACCAGTGGCAAATTTTGAGTTTGGTGTAGGGAGGACTGGAATTAAGAAGGAAAAAAGAGAAAAAGAGAGAGAGAAAACCCTTCCTCGTCCTGTTTTAGAATCAGCGGGTGGAGAGGAAACATAAACTCAATTTTATGTGGATTATAAGGCACCTATAAAGAGTCATATGAACTGAGACACTTGGCTCTGTTACCCTAATGATACCTATGGAACAATATGTGAAACCTATTACACTATTCTGGATATATGTGTGTGTGTATATATATTTATATATATGTACAGAGAATGAGGGAGAGAGAGACGAAATATGGGGCCTTTATTTTTATTGGCTTCTGCAAAGGATAAATTACACAGCAAGGGCAAGGTTAAATTATTGTAAATGTCTGTATGAAAGGCATCACTTAATTATTAACAGTCTGCTACAAATAAAAGGTACATATGCTAAAATGGCCTGACCTGCTGGATTGTGAGTTTGTTTAAAATTGTTGGTGAGGCCCACAGCTGACTTGTTCTGTTAGACAGGCTGGAAAAAGAGCCAGGGTAAGGTTTCATTGCAGGGTGGCTTTTAGCCCTCTTTACCAGATGTCAAATGAATGCCTAGAAAATGGGGAAGGTGGGAGCATTCTGAGAGCAGGGACAGAGCACCGTGAGGAAGAGAGGATGTTTAGAACCACCTGGATGGATGGGGAAAGAGGGGGAGCTCCAAGAAGTGACTGCTGTAACTCACTGTGAATTGTGTCTCACAATCTCTCTCCCTTACCATTTACCCACAAAGGGCAAGTCCACAACAGACACAACAGAGTTTTTTAAAGTGGATCCCTTCCCCTGTCTTAGTTAGGAAAAGGCTGGAACCCCTTTAAAGAGGGGGTTGCACCTGAGGAGTCTGCAAAAGGTAACTCAAAGAGAAAACCATTCCAGGATGGAATTTCCACAGGGAAACTTGGAGGCTTCACCAAGTTGGGGAGGAAAAAAAGGTCTGCAAATCCACTGGTCTGTATGGATGAGAGAACCCTGTGGAAAGCTCCCCCTTGCACTCACCAAATTAAAACTGCTCTTGGCAAGGAGAGAGATGTCTCTGTGACTCCACATTCAGCCCCAAGGCCAGATGGAATCCCTGGGAGTGCCTGGGCTCTCCTCCTGCCCACGGCCAGCCAGGGATTCCTGCACACTCCAGCCAGTCCCTGGTGGACCTGCAGCACCATCTCTTAGGGAGAGACATCTCATCTTGCTTTAAGGATCCCCAAAATTTTGAGAATTTGCTGCCTCACCCCCCTCCTT